CTTGGACGCGACTAGACGTGTACGCCACATCGTAACCGGCCCACGCCGTCCCACCCGACCCCACATATATTCGTCCCCATCCCCTTCCTGGACCAAACCCTAGCCACTCCACTCCGCAACCAAGCTCCCGTCCGGCGATATCTGCCCTTCCCAGGCATGGCGAGCAACAGATCAAACTCAGACCAGTCTGGATCTGTCCACTGGGTGGTGTCCCGTGTGGGATGGAGGAGGCAATGGCCGTCCGCATTACACTCCGCCGCTCCCAGGAGGACTGCGCCTGACACACAACAGGATATGTCGAGCGTGATTCCATTGTGTCGACACATTGGGTGCTCGGATCCTTTGGGATTGGATCATCACGGTCCTCTCGAGAGGCTTCCAAGCTCCCTTTCCCCCATCCGGCCCATCGGAGTATAAGTGCTACCGGGACCGGTGTGCCCACCGTCGGATGGAGAGGATAAGGGTGGCTAAGGCCTGCCTCGCAACCGACATGGCGACAGAGGCGGCAGATGCGACAGCGAGCGCCGAGGAGGAAGCCACCGTGCCCTCATCTTCAAGAAGCGACAGTGGAGGAACATGCGCGTCCTCGCCCGATAGCAGAATCGGGTTGTTTGTGCCATGGCCAGATTGCCCCCCAAGGAGGAGAAGGAGCAGAGCGACGGGTCGGACAGCTCCGACGAAGAGAAGATCTAGCTTGATCCCTACCGCGTTTTCGACCGCTAGTTCCGCGAGATGGACGGCAAGGGCAACCATGGATGATCTTCTCAATAGCTAGTACGTAGGTAAAACATGCCAAATTTTGGTAGTCCGGTAGCATGTCCTCATGAAGTAGCCGGACGATATATGTAGTGCACCGTTTATGTAGTTGCATGACTTTGTATGGATTTGAGGTATGCTAGTTGAGCTGTCCGGTTGTGAGAAGGAAAATTTGAGATGTGACCAGTCAGTGCCTGTGGATACGCTCGGGCAAGTCCGCGGGCGTTTGAGGAGCCGAATTTGTGAAGTCTGGCAGTATATGCTCTTATAGCCCACACTACTATACGGGTGACTATATGTGATGCTATAGATGACATTAGAGTTTCATATAGCTATCAACTGCTCTATTATTAATCATACTCTAAGCGTTACATATTCATGTATTTGAGCCTTTCTCTAGTCCGAGGATGGTCGTGTTACACATCCGCAATAGTACAAGGACCAAACGTGTAACTTAGAGCATCTCCAAAGCGGATCCCCAAGCCTCCCGCAACCATCCAGACCATGCTTCTCGGACGCAGTTTGTCACCCAACACGATCCTGTATCGAACCAGACATATTTTTTTGGGTAAATCCAAGAAAAACGTAAGCGAGCTTTACGAGAGTCCGGACATCGATCCGCTGGAGAATCAAAATCCACCGCGTACCATTCCCTCTTCGTTCCGATGGCAGAAGGCTGGCAATTAGCATTGGCGTTTGGCGGAAGCTACTAAAACTAGCACGGCCATTTGGCTCAAGCTACTAATTAGTATTCCCTCCGTTTAAAATTACTTGTCGTGAAAATGGATATATCTAAACGTATTTTAGTTTTAGATACATCCATTTCCAAGACAAGTAATTCTGAACGGAGGGAGTAATTAGCATGGGCATTTGGCGGAAGGTTTGCCCTAGCGCAACATGCATTTGACGGAAGCTACTAATTAGCATGGGCAATCTACTAATTAGCATAGGCATCCGGCGGAAGGTTTGCCCTAGCACAACACACATTTGGCCACTTAATCATGCAAGTGCTTGGCGGAAGCAGACTTTACTCCATGCATGCAAGTGCTTGGCGTTCGGCGGAAACTGCGGAAGCCTTTCTTCGGGCTAGCTAGTAATCCATGGATTAGTACCATAGTGAATCACATGTATTTCACGGAAGGTGTTTAGCGACGGATATTTACAACTACGGTTGAATGGCCGGTTTCCGCATCCATGTCTGTGGACTGATCTTCTTGTTGATGAACGGATGTGGGAGAAAATTTCTAAGTCGTCATTGGAGATGCGCTTTCTCTCCGGAGTGCATCTTATACGGTGTGTGTTCCTGCCTG